TCTTTTTAGTTGCAGAATCTAGGAATGTGTAAATAAAATCATTTTATACATACACAAATTATATACATATTCTACATTTTTATTGTACAATACCACTAAAAATGTACAAAGATAGTTACTGCTGTCATAGATCTTTAACAATTAATGCGTGGAAAATTAATAATATTTTCATTACTTTTATTAATAGCAACAAAAATAATAGTAGATAGTAGAGACATCTACTAAATCAAATGTTAAAACTATATGAATGTGTATCATATTTTTATGATACACAAAGATGTGATTAGTTTTAAAGACAAGAAATTTTCAAAATAAATTGTTAATATATTAAATTACTGTTATAATGGATTCATATATAATGCAGGTAATATGTTACAAAATTTAATTATATGCGGCATTTGAAAAATATTTTTATTTTGAGGTTATATTTATTATAGGTCAGACGTATGTGGTTAAACCAGGATGGTGATGCTTTAGCGGTAAATAATATGCATGTATATTGTAGTGATAAATTATATGAAAATATAAATCACAAATTACACTCTTTTTTTATTTAAGGATTTGTTGTCTTTACGACATAGTCATGTTTCTATTCCACAAATTGCATCTGAAACTGCAATGACAAAAGCAATGGAACATTTGTCTGCTCCTCTTGACGACTTAGTACTTTACCACTTAAAGTAACTATATTACGCTCTGACAAATTTTTATGCTAATTATTGTAAATGTGATATAATCAAATATTATAATACTTATATTTTTATGACTCCAGAACTATAGCAGCTATGAATAAAGATGATCCATTGTCTATGTATAATTATCAAAGTTCTGCAGTTCAATCTTTAACAAAAATCCTTCAAATGCAAAAGGAAGAAAATTGGATGCTTCCTGTTATGAATGTAATGTGTTTAGAATTAAGACTATTAGCAGTGTGTGCTGAAAATACAAAAACCAATAAAAATATGAAACCTGGAGAAATCTTAGAAAAATGTGCAGATTGTCTGATGGGTTGTTTTCGAGTATGTGCTTGTGACAATCGCAGTTCAGAGGATGATACAAAGCGATGGGGAATGCTGGCATTGGTTAACCAATTATTAAAAATTTATTTTAGAATTAATAAACTGCATCTATGCAGACCCTTAATAAGGGCAATAGAATCATCCCCATACAAAGCACATTTTGCATTAGCACAACAAATTACTTATAAGTTCTTTGTGGGCCGCAAAGCAATGTTTGATAGTGATTATAAAGCTGGTAACTAACATTTACTAACATTTGCTATAATAAATTTAGCATTTCAATTATTCTTTAAATAATTATGCTATTTATTTTACAGCTGATAAATATCTTACTTATGCATTTGAACACTGTCACAAGCAATCTTCAAAAAATAAGCGTTTAATTCTAACTTATCTTGTGCCAGTAAAAATGTTATTAGGTTATATGCCTAAACATAGTTTATTACAAAAATATAACCTAATGGAATTTGGCGAATTAATGGAAGCCGTTAAAAAAGGAGATTTGCGGAATCTTGAAAAAGTGATGGAAAAACATGAATCATTTTTTATAGGAGCTGGAATATATTTAATTGTAGAAAAGTTAAAAATAATAGCTTATAGAAATTTATTTAAAAAAGTATATTTAGTATTAAATATACACCAGATTCCTGTTCAGGATTTGCTTTCAGCTTTAGAAATGCATGGGATTGATGAAGTGGATATGGATGAAGTAGAATGCATTGTTGCAAATTTAATATATGAAGGAAAAATTAAGGGCTACATATCTCATCAGCATAAAAAATTAGTCATTTCTAAGCAAAACCCTTTTCCTCGACTTTCTACAATACCATAATCATTATTAGATTATATGTACCTTTTCTTTAATAAATAAGTTAAAATTTAATAAAATTGTTATTTTTAAAATTTTTATATGTACATATAAATAAAGCCGATTTATCATATTTGGTTGTGTTTACATTTCTCTTAAGGAAATAAAAATATTTGTTGTGCATATATTTATCTTAATATTAAAAATTTATAGTGTCAACAAGTTTGAAGTAAAAATTCATTCAATTTGAACGCAAGTTGCGCCCTGCGCATGAAGTCTAGTTTGTACATAGATGATCGGTTAATAAAAAGGAGGTGGAACGTGAAAGTACAAGACGACAATCGAATGGTACGAATGGAAGAAGAGTTTCATATTGTTGATAAATTATTTTCACTTAATTTGTTCGTCTGAGTAATTTGAAGAAAATATATTCAAAGTGTTCCGTTAATGCATTTAACGACAAAAATTCATCCATAAAATGTTAAGTAAAATAGTAATATGACATACTATCGATTCATAGCCTGATTGGTTAAGCTAGTGTTCAATGCAAGTATGGCCGCCCTGCCATCACCCACGCAGGTATATTATAATTTTTATAATTTTATCGTAATATAAAATTTAATATATTCTATC